CGGTTGCTCGGGACGCGAAGACGACCATGGGAGCGGGTGGAACCCGACCACGACGGCTGCGAAAGCAACGACGGTTGACGACGGACTGCTAGTGCCCGATGTTGATCGACGATTATTGCGATTGCGTCACGGCGACCAAAGCTCGGAGCGAGCGACGAAGACTATATTATTATTATATCGGTGCTACGGAATCGGTGGCCACCGGAGGCGTTGTGACTCGGCCGGCGAGACTAGACCACTGGGCGAAAAAGAGAGAGAATCGGTGGACCGCAACGCGCCACTGTCCTGATACTCTCCGTGGTTTTCACCCTAACCTGACATCCCTGTGTCTGCCTGAAAACGTTTCGTTTCCACGGATCCAGTTCTGCTGACGTCCGTGTTCCTAGCCACCATATAATTATATAGTTGTCCGTCACTCACCCGCCGTGAGCTCTGCGATTTTCGTCGCCACCGTCACGACTCACAAGTCGTCTTCGTGCAACACCTATGCAGCAGTCGTCACTCGTCCGTGGTACCGTCAGGACGGCGTCGACGCGTCGTTGTCCACGCCTGTACCGCTAGCCTCTAGACGGTCTCGCGTGTCGGCGACCTCGAGCGCGCGACGTCCGCGATCCCGTAGGAGCCCATATCGCTGCAGTGATGAGATCTTCCAGCACCTCCTGATGATGGTGTCGATGTTTTCGGAATCACAGAAGTCTGACATAATTGTGAGTCTTATAGACTATAGTACGTGTGACGTCGAATAATAAATTGTGAATGTAAACATGATTATATGATTGGTATACTTCTACTTTACCGGGCACCCTTTTTTTTGCGTTTTTTTTTTCAAATTAATGTAGTTAAGTACGCTGAAAACGATGGTGAAGTCTGAATTTGGCACACCGACTTAGTTTTGAAGTTATGGCCTAATGAAGTTCACTATTTCGGAGCGCAGCGACGAGTGCCGTAAAACGTGTAATCACTGCCTCTAGGTACCTATACGCTATAGGTACTACGGTCTACGACATAACATAGATTTAAATCGTTTAATAATTTTTGTGCCCATACTCGCTTAATCACTGCAACTTTGAACTTCCATAACTTTTGAACAGTAAGTTTTCGTAGTATTGAGGGAAACTGAGGTGGTTTTACAAAACAAATCGGGGGATATTTTTCGATTGGCGGAGCGTAGCGACGAGTTCCGATCAACAAGTAATCATTGCAACTTTGAACTCTCATAACTTTTGAACGGTAAGTTTACGGGAATTTTTTCAAATAGTTTTGAATTCCGCATAAAAACCACGTAATTTGAAGAAAAAAAAATTTAAAAAAAAGGGTGTCCGGTAAAGTAGAGTTGTTCCAAATTTGCAAAATAGTGAACTTCATTGGCCCATAACTTCAAAACTAAGTCCGACTTCTGAGTGCCAAATTCTGACTTCCCCATCGTTTTCAGCGAACTTAACTACTAGATTTCAAAAAAGAAAATTGCAAAAATAAGGGTGCCCAGTAAAGTAGAAAAGTTCCATATGATTTTGTGAATGTCTATTTTACTAAAGACAAACAACTGATTTTTTTTTAAAAAACCATAGGTATTAACAAATTGGCTTTTTGAATTTTTCAAAAAAATCATATTTAAAATTTTTAATTTCAGTACCTATCAAAAAAATAAAAATAAAAGTAGGTTGTACCTACTATACATGTAATGCAAGCATCTGTAAATTATACAAAAAAAAGTTTAAAAATATTGATGTGAACAAAAATGATTTTATTTGTCTGGTCTTCCTGATAGTCGGTAGATATTATATCATAAATCATAATATATTAATGAGGACCCAGATTTTGATTTTTATATTATACTGCTGGAAATTTAAAACAAAGTTCCATGTAAATAGGTTGTATATAAATTATAAATTACTTTATTCACAATAATACCATCCGATACAGGTACTTAGTAATATCTAGGGTGTCCAACTAAGTCGACAACTATAGGGCCCCAGTCCCAGTGTCACTTTTAGTAAAGGGGCCCTAATTTAAGTTTTTTACGCTTATTGTTGTGAACAAATTTGGGGTTGTCTGTAGTCGATAGGTACATTTTGATTAGAAAAAATGTGGTAATATTAATAAATTCCTAGGTTTTTGCGAGGCTTTTTGTAAATACAATTAAGAAAACACATTAATGATGGACATGATACAAATTTTCAATTGTATACATATTTCTGTAAGTGTAACTCAATTCCCAGTAATTTTCAAAAGCGCCAAGAAAAACAAAAGAAAAATTAAGGAAAAACTGGAATTTTTACGCAAAATCGATTTTTCACAAAATTGAATTTGGTTTTTGGTGTAACTTTAAAACAAATAACCGTAGGTACATGCAATTTTCATTGGTTGTTTACATTTGCATTTTCTATACACGATAACATTTTCAAAATATTTTGATTTATTTTAACTGTTTAGGGACATTTTCAGTTTCCAATTTTATTAATTTTTTTTTTTTATGAATATCAATAAAAATTTATTTGTTGAGTAAAAATACTTAAAAATTTAATACAAGGCTCCTAGTATATTGTTCCAAAGGCAGATGAAAAATATTAATAATCCTTAGTCACAGTTTTTTTTTTTATAAGCATTTAAAGTTCAAAAATTACAAAATATGGAAAAATCACGAAAATTAGCAAATTATTTTGAGTTAAAAATTCACAAAAATTTTTCTTTTTAAATCTAAGAATTGAAAATGTAATACAAGATTACTCATAAGTTTGTCTACCTTTATCAATAAAAAAATCTCTACCGGAAAGTTAAATTAAATTTTTATGAGCGTTGGAAATTTAAATTTTTACAACATTGGCTATTCACACGATTTCTTTATTTTGTTGTAATTCAAAAACTAATAACTGTAGATACATGGAAAATTTCACTGAATGTTTATGTTGGCATTTCCTATACACCTTACAATTTTGAAAATATTTTGATTTTTTTTTGAGCTGTTGACGGACATTTTCAGTTTTCATTTTTTTAGTTTTTTTTTCTATAAATATCAATAAAGTTTTATCTGTTGGGCCAAAAAGTGTAAAAATTTAATACAAGGCTCCTGATATATTGTTACAATATCAGTTGAACAATATTAAAAATACATAGTCACAATTTTTTTTTTATAAGCATTTAAAGTTCAAATTTTGACAAAATATAATAATTATTTTGTAGTTAAAAATTTATAAAATATTCAACTTTTATATCTAAGGATTGAAAATTTAAAACAAGATTCCACGTAAGTAGTTTATTCTGTTACCAAAAAATCTAAAAAATACAGAATTACAGTTTATTTTTATAGTCATTTTAATTTCAAATTTGGACGAAATTACATAATACAAAATCTAGAATAACTATTTTAGCTATTATTTGTTGTGAATGTATATAATATCATTCGTAGGTACTTGAAACTTCTAAAGTACCTACACTATTATATAACTACGATAGAATCAGGGTTTGTTGTTGATGTATCACGCGTTATAAGTAGGTACCTAATGGATATTGTGATATGATTAATTTGGAATTTATTATAGGTAGGACAGGTAGGTCAATTTTTTTTTAATACCATAGATATGTATAGGTATAATATGTCTTATACCTAGACTGACATATCGTTTCCGCTCAGAATCATTTTTCTTATACAATGATATTATATCATTGAATTCAAATTTAATACAGGGTCCCATTTTTAACCTATTGTACAGCAGAGCACCTTTTTTTTCTGGTTTTGGAATCGGCCAATATAGAAATCATTTTTTCCAAGTTTAGTTTATTAGCTATACATCTATTTCAATACTTAAAATAGCAATATTATATTAGAAAGGCGATCCTGACCCATACAATTCCTCAAATAGTTTTTGATTACTTTAAATTTTGTAATGGCCTTTTTACCGAAGCTACCTACTCTCACATGCAGTGTAATATAAATTATACATGCAGTTTATTATAAGTTATTACATCGGAGTATGTTGAAGAGAAATAATTTTTAACTATAAACAAAGGGAGGTCGTTAATTGTTTGAGTAGTTGTGTTTAATAATGCTCTTAAACACAATAATTGCCAGGTAAAATCTGGAGAAATGTCATCATTATAATATTATAAATTAAGAAAGTTTATTGAAGTCATAGCGATTTCATTTTCATTCAATTTTGAGAACATTTTAATTTGTGGTTAATACAAATTTATAATTCTCTGTTAGGTACTTATTTAAGTTCTTGAAACCTTGAGTTTAGTTTGAACATACCATTCCGAATAGTACTGTATCAATCACAGATAGAACAATTTTAATCCGGCATTTTAATGCTGACAAGCCGATTCCAGATAGTAGATAATAATAATATACAATATTGTCAATATTCCAGTTTTTTTCTACACTATATTATGTTCAATATAATATTATATTTTATTGTTACTATAATGTCCATAATGACATAATATACATATGTTATAACTTATAATGTATTATACTGTACTTAGTAGTCCGTATTTTGTGAAATTTGATTCATATATAAATACATGAAAATAATGTGATTTTACTATAGTAAAATTGTTATTTTAATTTATTAACAAAACAATGTAAATATACATTTTTCCAAATAATTTATACTTTGTGACTTAATAATTACTAGTAATAATTATATTAAATTCTTGTCAAACAGTAGTAGGTACATACAAAACAATATATTATTTTAAACATCATATTATATTAATATCATACTGGTCAGTTGTTATTATCTTCTTCAGAAATAAAATAATGACAATATTATTGTATCTTATTTTTAAATTTACTGCCATAATATATGATATATGTATGTTACAGTGTAAAATAGAAGAATAAATATACTATTTATTATTTTTTATTGAAATAATACACACAACATTGAAAACAACCTGTATTCAATTGTAATTTATAACAAATAATAAAAAAGGGAGAAAAAAATTAGGTATGGTTTAAAGTTTAAAACTTTAAACTCATATTGTTGTTGTATTTTAGTTTATGGTCTGTACTGTCCCAAAAACGTGTCACATTTTGGGCATTTGTGGTTGACGACATTGCAAGAGTCCATGCAGCAAGGAATTAGACAGCATCCACAAACACATCTAAACAATATAATATAATTAAACCAATAAACAAAAGGTTAATCATTAATTACTCATTTAAAAAAATACTTAACAATTATAAAACAATACATAATATTATATAAATAAAAATATTTCTTTTTTAAACTGAATTTGTTTTATTAAAGAAAAATTGTAAGTTTTGTTTTAATACTCGCCCAAAGACACACATCAGTATACAACTCCACCAAGCAGAAGATTTGGCTTTCTTAGATGTACTTGTATAAATGTAATTTCCGCAAGCAGTGCATACAGTTTGTGTACTACTAGGACCCATTGGTTGTGGTGCTGCAACTGGAGGCGACTGAGGCCCTAAAAGTAGAAATAATAATTAGTCAAAACATTAAGACTCCATGTAGATACACTGTAAAATTATATAAACATAATATGTTACAATCAATCATTTTTAATTATTTAATTTATATAATTCATTGATTGGCGCTACACATACATATAACATTTATTATTGGTTTTTTGAATACTGAAAATAAAAAATTGAAAATAGCTTATAAGTAAATATTGTTATTAGAAAACTTTTAATTTTAAATACATATACCTAAGTCAAGTTTGAGATAATAAGAATCTACTACAGTATAAGGGTCTGAAGTGGACGACTATTGAGCTGAGCAAAACAGGATGTAGTCGTTTTTTGAATGCTTGACCAAAGTGCCCTGCAATAGAACCAATATGCATAACCGAAACAAGGGAGCTTTAAGCGCTAAGCCCCTACAAAATTCAATATCCCCCAAACATAATTTTTTTAAGATTATTCAATATTACTATAGTAACAACCCTTAAATCTCAAACAATATTTGCGCCTATGCCAATATGGGAGATTGGCTGCCGATTGTCATCCGTTTGACCAGTATGTGAATCAGAAGTGGTACATATCAAAGACATATAGTTATAAGACATATACATTTTATAAATTATATGTATTGGATTTGCTAAATTAGTGTGGGTGTCATTGCACATAACTCATAAAAATAGGTTGAATGGTTGTCGGTTGGTACTTGGGGGCAGGGGCTATGGTGCATATTAAATTTATTGTAGGTAATTAATATTAACAGGTAGGTAACTCACTAGGTAATAGGTATATCAGTATTCAGTATACCTAATTACTTGAGTTTAAAAAACAAAAACAAGGAGTAAAGGGTAAAGTAGAAATATACGAAATAATGTTATACTAGGTATTAGGTAGGTATAATATAGACTTTTGTAAAGGGTAGATGATAGTGTTTGAAAATCTTTTTGGTGAATGAGACCCCTTTTGAGACCATAACAATTTCTAGTTGTACTGTTGTATATAGGTATTATTGTATTTGTATAAATGTAGTTGTAGTTGTATACTATTCATTTGAAGCATTAAAAGAATTTCGAGAGCCAAAGATTGGAAAACACTGGTCAGGTTTGGATTCAATAATTCAGTATTACGTGTATATTATATTATTATACCTTATGTAAAACCATTATTCATTATTATTTACTAGGTATCCTTACTCGAATCTAGGAAAAAAAAGCCCCGGAAAAAAAAGCCCCTAACAACATTCATCGGAAAAAAAAGCCCCGTCATAGGAAAAAAAAGCCCAATACCAACTAAATACATTATTCTTTTTTATTATGATTTATATAATTAATTATAATCATAATATCCATAATCATAAATATAATATTATAAAATAATATACTAGTAAATTATTTTATTATATTATTATGCATCTAATTTATTATACAAGGTAATACATTTATTTTCTTAAAAGGTAACTATAAAAAAAATGACATCTAGTATATGACACATTGACTCGACACGACACTAATAAAAATAATAATAATAATAATAATAACTAATTATATCACAATTAAAAATACACTATTCATTGTAGTTTGTTGTTTGTTTATAATTAAAAATTTTTTTAGGGTAGTTCATAGCAAAAATAAAATTATAAAATTGTATTTAAAAATACAAATATACAAAAAATCAAAGATAAATAATATTATACTCTTTAATTTAAAATTTAAAATAATGCATAATCATAATTTATAATGCATGTACTGAAATAAATGTATAAAAAACCTCACAATAAAATATATATAAATTTAAATAATACTTAAAATTGAACGCGTAATATAGATACCTAGGCATATTGTTTAAAAATTTAAAATTATAAAATGTCGACTATAATAAAAAAAGTGATATGTATTTCGTAGGTACGCCGTACGGGGCTTTTTTTCCTATGGCGGGGCTTTTTTTACCGTATTTTTTTTCTGGGGCTTTTTTTTCCGGGGCTTTTTTTTCCGAATACCCCTTACTCCCTAGTGAGCGTACATAAAGCTTCATAGTTGATAACTCAGAAACGGCCGAAACTATATTGCTATTTTGATTAAATGCATTTAAATGACCTTGATGGGAGGGTTCTTTTATCCACAGCCCCCCCCCTCCACCAAGCATGCCTAGTGAATCATCCTGTAGGCAGATGTGGTTCCAATGGGAGGGGGGAGTGCATAGCCCCCCACCCGATCCCTAAAAATAGCTGGTTTGTATTATGTATATAATATATTGGAACCAATTTTTTCTTTTATATATTCCTGGAGGCCATTGGCCAAGTGGCCAACATACTTTTTATTACTTTTACGTATTACGTTTAGAATATTTAGTCTTAAGTATAATGACAATTATTTTGCGCTAAAAATGAAACATTATTCTTTGGCGGCAGACACCCTTTTTTTCCTTTCCTTTTCTTTGGCGGCATCATATAATAAAGTCACACACCCTACGTTTTACCGTTATAAGTGCGTGCCGATTTCTTAATCCGTAGACATATCATACGGACCGTCTCTTTTCAGGGGCGTGCTCAGCTTTTTCCAATGGGGGGGGGGATGAACCATATTTTGTTTTTTTGATTATCATAGACACAAAATGTTCTTATAGGTATATACTATATACATTGATATTTTAGAAGTAGGTTGATATATATTATATTATATACATACCTACCTACATGTTATTCTAAAATTCAAAATGTATTAATGTTTTATATATTCGGACATCGGACATGTTAAAATTATGAGTCTAAAGACCTAAATTACAAATTCAAGTTTTCTTGGTTTCTTAGCCATTTCATCTAAGACTTCATCTGGAGTAACGCTTATATCTTTATGAACTGCCAATAGCGTTAATCCATTCAAACGGTCCTAAAATGGTTATTCGCCATTCGGTTGATTAGGAAACGTGTTTTATATTATCAAAAAAATAACAATGGATTGTAACGGGCACGCCGGAGCGGACTATTTTGGTTACATAATTACACAATAACATAATATTTTATATTACCATATATTAATGCAGCCCTATGCAACTCGATGAGATTAACATATAATAATCCGTGCTCTTATTGACGGGACAGGGAACTCATAAATACTAGTACTGCCATCTATCAACGACGTATGGTGATCTATAAGTTTAATGTCAATGATATCTCATGTTATGATAAATATTAAATAATACAACTTATGGGCATTCTTTTTTTTTCTTAAAATTAGGCCTTTCAGCATTTGTATGATTATAGGACGTGGACTAAAGTAGCAAATTCTATAACAACAAACAACTTTTGAGTTTTTATTTTATATATAATAATAATAAATAATAATAATGAACACAATGACTTACATAATACATTTTGTTAAACATTTTGAATACTTAGTATTGGTAAGTGTAATATTAATTATATCTTTAATAATAGATATAATGTACGAATGTTATGTGAAACTTTAGGAAATTATTATTATTATTTTCTTTTATTAAAAAAGATTTGGGAAAATGTGTTTGACATATTCGATCACCAACAAATAATGGAATCGGAACTACAAATTCCTAATTCTCTTTCCGCTTAAGAGTAACTATAAAAGTTGGAACTCCTTCTGTTCCTTTATGACATATAGCACACTTTTTTGGCATGATGAGGTACAAAGTTATAAACTACTAAAAGTGTTTTCAATTAAAAACGCTCGTCGTTCGAGTTAAATTACATAACAATATACTTTTTTTTTTTATCCATTTTGTCGCAATTTTTGTTTATGTAGGTATTAGATTTAGGCGGGGAGATGAATGTATTGGATTTACAATGTTTTTCTTTCTGTGTTTGTATACACGTTTTATAGATGAAAAAATGCTTGAATCTTTAACTTTAATGAATATTTCTGGTAGCTTTGTACTTTTATTTGTAGGTATTCGGAAAATTTACAGTACCTAGGTACTTCACAAAATCGGGAAAACGGTAATTTTTACGAAAAACAAGATTTCAACAAAATCAACTATCTTATTTTCGTAATTCTTTATTCTAGTATATAATCATAATTATAGACGTACATTTTTCTTAAAATATTTATATTAGCATTTTCTAGACATAAGTCCTAAACACATAAGTCCCCTCCCATGCCCATATTTCTAAAAAAATGTATACATATTTTAAAAATAATTACAAAAAAATACATATTATAATATCAAATGTTTTCCAAAAATTATGAACCCCCACCCTCACCAACCATGTCTCTGGAGCCACCCTTGACTCAGTACACACGTACACAAAAATAAAATTCGAGGGAGGTTCATATTAGATTTCGGGGGGTTATTAATCTATATATATAAATAAACTACACAACTATTAATTTTCTGGGGGGTTTGAACCCCCAAAACCCCCCTGTATACGTGCCTGACCTGACTAGATGAGTGTATAGGTGTAATTACACTCGAAAGTCGAAATGTAGTAGGTACCTGCTATTTATTAATCAGTAAAACAACTGCACCTGAGACTGTGGTTTCCGTTATTAAATAATAATGAAAAACATTAATCCGCTAGATAGTGACACGTGTACATGACTATTCTCTGTCCGGTCATTAAGAACACGGATTTCATTATCAAGTTGCCAGACCTAATAATCTAAGACCGTGTATTAATGGTAAATTACTATAGTACCAACCACGAACTAAGATATACTAGATATAACAAGATAAGATAACTTAGTTCGTGGTACCAACTATATATATTTTACATCTTTGATAATTATTACATAACTAACAAATTAAAACCAATTATGCATTACCTTTTTTTTTTTCGAAAAAAGCGAATCAAGCAAGAAACTTAAGTAAATGCATAAAAAAAAAGTTCATGGGGGGGATATGACACCCTCATCCCCCCCGTGAGCACGCCCCTGTCTCTTTTTTGTCGTTGATAATGGTTTTATTGGATATGACCGATTTCTACAAACTACAGTTATTTATTATTCTGTAAGATTTTAGTTTATTTATTATAATGGTGTGTGAGCATATCATTACAATACATACTTACCAAATACATTTAAAACAAATAGAATAAGAATTACGAAACTACTAACCCTGTACTCACAAATAATTATGATTGAATCAGTTTGTAATTTTTATTTATTTTTAATAATTGAGTATTTGAGTCCATATAATATTTATTAAATTTTAACAATAAAAAATTGTAGTCACGTGTGACACATATTAACACGTCATGCGCCGACATTGAACGAATTCCGTAAACCACTTGTGAGTTGTGGTATGCGGACTACGGGTGCTCCAGACTCCAGTACCTACTCTACAAGCGCGGGCAAAGTGCAAATGTAATTTGAAAATTAATAATTGAAGGATAGTTAGAGCAGTTTCTTTAATTTAAACATCGCCAAAGTATAAATATTAAGTTATATTTAACTAATAAAATATATTTAATATTTTGAGTATAAATACTCAATTATAACAATATTATTAATTAAATTGTGTATAATTGTCTGGGGAGTTTGACAAATTCAGCTTTATACATACTACAATACTACACTATTACCAACTGCGCAGTGCCCAGCTCGTAATACCAAAAAGCATTTTAAAGCCCATACACGCTATTGTGTAATATCAATATATTAAAAATTAATTTTAATTTTTTAAATTATAGGTATTAGGAAGGTACTCACATTGGATTTGAAGCGGAGCTGTAGGCTGGATCATTACACTCATGTTTTTTCAGATGGCTTTAGTGTACTTAAATTGTCGTGTTCAATACTGATTTAGAGAGAAAAAATCTCTGAAACCAATAACACGTACAGAAAAAGCAACGCGACTAAAGTAGTAACTACAGAGAATAGTGATTTGTGTACCGGATATACTGACTTACTAAGCAGTGCCTACTGAGTACTGGCCCTAGACTGCAGCTACGCTATCGGCTGTACTGACTACTGGAGTAACTCTTTGTATAGATGTCTCTCTGGTCTCGAGAGTCCGCTGACGGCGCAGTTCTCGGACAATAATCGTACACCGAACGATGCGTTGTGTTCTTGTTGGAGTCGTTTGAGACAAGTAGACAACTGCGCCAAATGCTAGCTGGATGCTAACACTGAATAAAAATATTGTGCTTACGAGTTACGACAGCAGACAGACGACTGTAGTTTTACAATTGTCCCGTGTCCGTGTCCTACCCCTACCTCATGTGGTATTGGGTCAGTGTTGGTTCTCCATTGGAATATTTATTTTTTCTCTATTCATTCCGCGGCCACAATGGCCATTGAGTGTCATTGGTCATTACCACGGATATAGATATATATATATATATTACATAAATAATATTTGTCCTATCTAAGCGATAAGCCATAATTATTTATGTTGTATTTACACAGTTCGTTTGTACTAATAATAATTGTACTGATTAGTAGTTACTCGTTAATCGTTGACGCGTCCGGTCCGAATGTTCGACTACATTTAATCAAGAGTCAAGACTGCATTTTCGTCTATCGATTGTCGATTGAATACAATTTAATAATTATTTAATTATTAAGCATTTATTAAAGCTGTTTCTACAGTTTTGACTATGAAAACGAAAAGACTGAAAGAGAGAGAATAATTTCTTCTTATATAGGCTATTAATTATTATAGTCCTTTATATTTTCGGAGAAGAGACCCGAGAATCTAGAAAAAAAAATTCCCAAAGCTATACCTAACCGTTGAATACAGCTGTCAAATAAATAACGAAAATATATAAAATTTGAATGATAGTTATTACTTATTAGGTATATTATTAAATATTGATCAATAGGTACATAATATTATATTATATGATATTGGAATATTGATATTATATAAATATTTATTTGTTTATTTATAACCAAGTACCTTTATAATACCCAGGGGGTATCCCAGTGGGGATATTTTAACTAATATACTGAGTGACAGAAATGTCGCCCAGAGAAAACTTTTTGTCGCTGAGTAGATGATATATTTAATTACTGGGCGACAACAATTTTTGTAAAAATTTCGATGTTTGAAATTATTATATAATTTTCTTTATTGATTATTTATTATGTTTAATTTTGTTATTTATTTATGACGTATATCATTTCGGTTGATAAATAATTATTGAGAATGAAAAACCCATGTGACCGTTTACCGCTGCCCGTAGGTACCCATAGAATAATACAAAGCAAGAAAGCGCGCACGCGACAATGCGACATGTATTCTGGTCGTCAGTCGTCCCGGCAAATATCTACAAATTGATTGTTTTTGATTTTATTTTAGTATTTGTTAATTGTTCCTACAAGATATAAGCCAAATAATTATTTCCTTTTGAACCTTTAAACAGTTCAAGCCTTCAAGGTACCGGCTTACCTAATACGTCATACGATACTCGTCACTTTCGGTACCTAAGTATAAAATAATTTAAAATCGAATATTTTATTCTTGGACTTATACTAAAAACAGTACCTCTTCTCAATAAAGATAATATATTACAAAATACAATAATCCTAAATGAAATATACCTATATAGTATATACTTGCTACTTGCATAATATGATACGTATAACGTATTACCATTTACCATTGGTTATAAATACTCTAGTGAAAATAGTAGTATTTATAATCAATGGTATTAATATTCTGTACATTTCTATGAATAATCAATAATATAATAACTATTATTATAAATTATTATTTACTAATTAAAATAATTAATACTGAAAAGGTCTTCATAATATCCTCATAATATGTCGAGTGAATTTTTTTTTTAATGTCGCCCAGTGATAATTCCTTGAAATATTCAATGGGCTATCCGGGGGTTTTATTCCGATTAGCGAGACTTCGAAAGTTAAGAGCACATTGTACAAGCAAGATATTATTAAGAACATTAAATTGTACAGCAGAGTAATATATCCACTTGGTACTTGCCCACCTTTTTTTTTATTATTTTATTCATATGAGACGCAAAAGGAAAAACGGTTAATGAATTTAATTTAATTGTTATTCATAATAGTGCAATTATTATAAGATAATAAAGACATGGATAGGACATTAGGACGCCATATTCACCAGTTTTGTTAGTTGTGTGGTCCGCCGTAGATAAAAAATTAAGGCCGTTTGTTTACATTTTTGTACAGTATGATTATAATATTAATATTATGTGGATAATCAGATAACCGATATATTTTCTCGGTGACGGTAAAATTATCTGGGATAAACCAAAAACTATATTTTAAATTCGTCCATAACTAATAATTATATTTTTATCTACTTGGTTAAAAATAATATTACTGACATGTGGTCATGTGGACAAACCGGCAAGTTGTCACAAGTCAGTAATATATAGTCAGTACCTACTCCATAGTCATAAGTCATAATAATCTGGGGAACGGAAAAAGTCTCGGGGGGGGGGGGGGAGAGTTAATAAAACTGATGAAATACACAATTTGGAACATTTTTATTAAAACGTATATAATCATTATAATCACTCTGTAGTCTGTATGGATAGTAATCGGAAAAGAATCCCCAAAGCAATTAATACTATTATAAATATACTTATTATAATTGGACATCTTAAAATACTCATAACTCGCTTTAAAATTAAAATATAATAAAAAGCCTATGATATTAATAATCTTACCTTTAAATAATAATTGTATGAGAGGTTATTTTAATTTAATATTTTATAATTATCATTCAAATTTTATATTTTTTTATTATTATCTATATATGTAAAAATGGAGATTTTAAAAGAAAATGTTAGGAAAATCCACCGGAAAACAGGAAATCTGGATGTAAAAAATACAACAATGTATTATATTATATTGGTTGCTATTGGTTAATCGGGAATGTTTGTTGATTTGTATTATTTTTTGTCAATATATATTTATATGTATATATATGTATGTATATAAATTAATATTTGTGTGTAGATTAGAGTTCACACTACACCGTGTCGTGTAAAATAATCACGGTTACCACAGTTACCAAACGATATCGCATAGTTTAATATTTTAAAACTGTAAATTGTTTGTACATTTCAAAGTACTCATAACTCGCTTAAAAATTAAAATATTATAAAAAGCCCATGAGGTTGTCTAGATAATAATCTTACCTTTAGATTTTATAAGAGGTCAATTCACTCTAATTTTCAAAATAACGGAGCTACACGTGTTCTGTTTTGCGTAAAATGTGTTATGTTACTGGTAAGACGGAGACATCATATGAGGGTATCACGTCCTCTTAAGGGCTCCTTAATTTTTGTTATTTAATCCTATATATAGGCTATAAGTGACTATCGGGCAGACGGATGACCTAACAAGTAATTTTAACCTTGTTAGTTGAAATATCACAAGTATAGTGGCTCTGGTCTTCAAACTCAAGGGACCTAGCTCCCGTCACCTATCGGCTCCGGTCGCCATTTAGAGTAACTTAAGTCTATAGAAGCTCCCTAGTCCCTACGCCTTCCTGCTCGGCCCCCAAACCCCCTGGCCCCTGGGGATTAAATAGCAAATCTGGGGAGAGGGGTGGCGACCCCTTCAGATCTCGGGGGAGAGAGCACACCTGCCCTTCGGGCAGACGCTTGACCTAACAACTTTTTTTGAAACCTAGATAAATCAACGTTTTACAAATGATGGCACCAATGTAAATGGCTAATTTACCTAATCTAAGTTTTCAGTTTATATTATAATCCATAAACACACTGTATTCAGACAAATAAAGTTATGTTGTATAGTATGTATATTGTATAGTGATAACACGTCTTGCGGCACTCGTCACTGCGCTTATAGTAGAGTTGCACGCATGCGTATAAACGTAAAATCGCAAACTTTGGAAGGCTGTAACTTCCAAAATAATCATTTCCGCAAACTAATTTTTACACCATCGTTTTAAACTCGTCGAAATACATAGGTTTCCGAAAAAAAATCGAAAAATTCGCGTGGGCGCTAAACTAGAATTATGCCTGAAAATCTTTTGTTTGGTTATTTGTGTTCTTTAAATTGTCTATTAGAACTTCTAAATCACTAACATTGCATGGATTGCTAAAAAATGAATTAATTTTCTGCGAAGTGCTAGTAATCGATAGAAGATCCTTTTTCATTTTTGCTGCACGAAACTCATGACCACTCTTTTTCTTTTTTTTAGAGTCCATTTCAGCTACAATACCAGTAAACGTTAATTATAAAAAATAGCAATAATAAATTATAATATTTTAAACAATAACTCTATATTAAATTCATATTTGTTAAGAAATAAATGTGAACACATTTTTTTATTAGTCAGTACAAATAAGATAATTTTAGTAGGTACTAGGAAGGTACCTACAAAAAAAATCCAATACGTTTTGTTTATATTCTGGGCCCTAGAATCTAGAGTGACGACACTATTCACCAATAAATCCACAAATTTAGTTATGAATATTTGTTTTTATAAAATGTTATTAGTTTTATACATCATCGTATATAATTAAATTATATGTATTGAAAAGAAAGAAATATTTAAAAATTCTTATTTGATTATTAAGAACATTAGACAATCATTCCAATAATTATTTTTATTGGCTTAAAATACATACGAGGGACGTCCAGAAAATAAGGTTACAACATATGTGTTAAAAATTGAAAAATGGATATATTTAAATGAAATTTACAAGATAAGTGTCAAAACATGTCATTATTTCTCTGCATAATCGCCATTAATATCAATATATTTTTGAAGCCTAGGGACCA